GGGCTGGCAGCCAGCAGTTGGGGAAGGGAGGCCCTGGCCAGCAGCTGGAAGGCCCTGATCAGCCCTGATCACTGGTCAGGACTAGGGACTCTACCTGTGCACAGATTTCATACACCAGGCCTCTAGTGGGAATATATTAGCCTTAGACTAAAGCTTTAAATCTCTTAAAAGCCTGAAAAGTGAAAAACTGATCCCAGGTAATTTGACTTCATGATAGAGTAAACAATACATATAATGTTATGTAAAATGTATAGCAAAATTCAGCACCTAACAACATAAACTTCACAATGTAGAGCATGCAATAAAAAATTACCCATAATCTGGAGAAAAATACATGAACCCAGAAATGATAAAGACAGTGGATGTGCAGGTAATGACGTTAAAATAGCTATTCTAGATATGGTCTAGATCAGCGGTCACCAATCTTTTGGACCACCAGTGATCACTGGTTGGTGACTGCTGGTCTAAATGCTTAAGAATGTTTAGAAAGACATAACAAGAATGAGAAGCAAAATAAGACATCTAGAGACACTCAGAAATTTTTTAAATACACTGCATTGGGTTAGTAGCAGATTAAAGACTGCAGGAGGAAAAATCAGTGAATCTGAAGATAGAAACTACCCAAAATGAAACAGAAAAGAGGCTGAATAAAAATAAATAGGACAACATGTGGAATAATAGTTTTGAAGTTCTATTTAGTGTTTAGCCTAGAAATTGCAACATGGACTTTTGATTTATCAAAAATCTAATATTCATTCATCTTTACCTTTTACTTGTTCAAGGACTTTTGAGAACCTCAGGATGCTTTGTACCTAAATATATGTGTGAGCATATAAATGGTGTATGTCAACCTCAGTTTCTGTTCATGCAGATTTACTCATGTCTTTACCACTTTTCAATAAAGGATTTTATTTTATTTTTTTGAGCAGTTTTAGGTTCACAGCAAAATTAAGAGGAAGGTACAGAGATCTTCCATATACCCTATGTCACCTCACATGTACAGCCTCCCCATTATCAACTTTCCCCAAAGTGGTACATTTGTTACAATTCAAAAATCTACATTGATACAGTAAAACAGACTAACGACTAATTCAGGAGATATAACAGACTAATCCGGGAGAGGGAATATTCATTATAGCCTAAAGTCCATTATATAATAAGTAGGTTTTCTGAATGCATATGTTAAAAAATTAACAAATTAGCTTACTTCTTTTTTACTTATGTAGATATGTTCATGTAATTAAAACTATGAATGAAAAGTTTAATTTCACAGAAGCTTTCTATATGTATTACTGTGACACATATAGAAGTTTTCTAAATGTTTTACTGTTTAACTTTATATTGAATAGCTCTAGTAAATGGATGCGTTCACCAGTCACTGAGAGCAAACAAGTGCACACGGCTTAGTGCACGTGGGAACACCAGCCCACGCGTGTTAATAAAACTGCTGCAGAAAGTCACGCCAGGCAATTATTGAGTGCAGTGTGGTGTGATCACATGCTTATCATTCGCCTGAACATTGTTTACGAGCGATGACACTTGGATTTAAATACGTAGACTAGAGTTATAAATACGTAATATTTATATATATTGGTGAAATTACTACAGTGTTTTTTCCCCCCTGACATATGGCCTATTTACTAAAATTCGTTAAAAATAACCTGTTAATTTAGTTGTAAGCAAATCTTGGTTAAAATCATTTAAAAATTGGCAGGGTGTTCCTTTTCACATAGGACATATAGACTGGAAATTTTATCCATTAAATCTGAAGTCCATTAAATTGAGGTCTGCAAAATCAAGGGTTTACTGTACTTCATACTAACCCAGAGTCCATAGTTTATGTTGGCATTCCGTCTTGGTGTATGTATAGTCTATGTGTTTTGACATCCATAGAATGTATAATGATACCCATTCATTATGAAAATATCCCACAGTATTTTCACTACCCTAAAAATCTTTTGTACTCTACTTAAATCCCCCTAACTCCATTCCTTCCCCCCTAATATCTGGCAATTATGGATCTTTTTGCTGTCTCCATAAGTTTCTCTTTTTTTAGAATGCCATATACTTGGAATTATACAACATATAGCCTTATCAGATTGCTTTCTTTCACTTGTTAATTAATATGCATTTAATTTTCCTCCATGTCTTTTCATGACTTGATAGCTCATTTATTTTTTATGCCTAATCATATTCTGTTGTCTGGAGGTACCACAGTTTATCCATTCCTCTACTAGAGATCATTGGTTCCTTCCAACTTTTGGCAGTTAGAATGTAAAGCTGCTGTAAACATCCTTGTGCAAGTTTTTATGTGGACATAAGTTTTTAACTCCTTTGGGTAAATACCAAAGGGCACTATTGCTGGATCATATGATAATAATATACTTACTTTGTAAGAAACTATCAAAATATCTTCTAAACTGACTGTACTATTTTTGTGTCCATCCTCAGTTGAATGAGAGTTGTTGTTGTTAGTGCTCTGGATTCTGGCCATTCTATTAGGAGTATTAGTGGTATCTCATTTTAATTTGCCTTTCCCTGATGACACATATGGAGCATCTTCCTATATACTTACCATCTACAATATATATCTTCCTAAGTGAGGTGTCTGTTAAGGTCTTTGGCCCATTTTTAAATCAGGTTGTTTTATTTTTGACTTGTAAGATTTTTAAAAAATATATTTTTATTTCAGAGAGGAAATAAGAGGAAGAGAGAGATAGAAACATCAATGATGAGAGAGAATTCATTGATCGGCTGTCTCTTGACGTCCCCCATTGTGGATCAAGACCACAACCTGGGCATGTGCTCGAAACCTGGGCACGTGTCCTTACTGGGAATTGAACCATCGTGACCTCTGGTTCAAAGGTCAACACTCAAGCACTAAGCTATGCCGGGCAGGCTAAGATATTTTTTAAAAATATGTTTTGGATAACAGTTCCTTCTCAGATATGTGTTCTCAAAGTATTTTCTTTCAGTCTGTGGCTTGTTCGTATTCTTGAATATTGTCTTTTGCACAAGTTTTTTATTTTAATAGAGGCCAGCTTATCAATTATTTCTATATGATCATTCCTTTGATATTATACTGGTATGTAAAAAATCATCTCCATTCCCAGAGTTAGTTATCTAGGTTTTCTTCTAAGAGTTTTACAGTTTTGCATTTTATATTTAGGTCTGTGATCCACTTGAATTTAATTTTTGTGACTGATGTAAGGTCAGTCTAGATTTAATTTTTTGCATGTGGATGTCCATGTATTTCAGTACCATTTGTTGAAGAGTTTGTCTTTGTGCCATTGTGTGGCCTTTTCTCTTAAGTCAAAGATCTGTTAACTATATTTATGTGGGTGTATCTCAGGGTGGTCTATTCTATTCCACTGATCAATTTGTCTGTTGTTTTGCCAATACCACACTGTCTTGTTACTATTTACCACTTTTTCTTTTTACTCTTTATTTCTTGCTATATTTCTGAATTATTACCTAGAATAATTTTCCATGTGCCTGAAGAATATACATTCTTAGACTTTATTCTATACCAGTAGGACCCTGGCCTTGTACTTCTGTAGCTAGGAGTTGTTTGTTTTCCACTTTTGGAAGAACCTATGAATTACCCTTAATTTTGTCCTTGGCTGCATATTTAATTTTTTTTGTTCCTGTTTTATATAGCATCTCTGTGTATTTGTTTAGGCAATGTGTTTTAGTGGTTATGAGCCCAACGTTGTCAACACTTTGTATTGTCACTTAAAACATTTTTAGTTATTTTGTGGGTATTTCAAATATGGTTTCAATTTTTTTGTATCTTTAGTTTTATTCTCCTTCAAGGTAGATTTTTATTTTTATCTTCAGCTCTGAAGTTTTTATTCTTATTTTCTGTTTTCTTCTCATAGTAGTTTCACATGAGGTATCTACCCTGTACTGGCTTTTTCTATTTAGGACTTATTTGCGTATGTGTGTTTCATCACCGTGGGAATCCTCACCCCCTTGTGCCTTTTTCTTATTGTGCTCAGTAGTCTCCACTAGATTCTTTCTGTAGCTTCGACGCTGGGGCTAGGGCTGGTGTATTTGAGTTTCACTACTTACAGACATTTGAAGTTACTTGGTAGAGAATGAGGCTAGACAGGCCAGAGGAACTAGTGCTCATAGTGCATGAATAGTGCATGAATAAATCAGAGATGCAGGTGAGGAGAAAGGGTAGACAAAACTTTGTTATTGTTAGCTTAACACATATTTAAATACAGGTATCTAGGAATGTTAATAGATAGTTATACAGCCACAGATACTTTAAGGAAAATATCTGTGTATGATGAACTAAGGAACATGCAGAGTTTGCCCATCTCTTTATATTTTTATTTTTCAAGAATTTAAAAAAATACACTTTGTAGGACAAGTCTTTAACAGGTGAAATAAGCCACTCAGAGAAAGACAAATATCATATAATCTCACTTATATGAGGAATCTACAGAACAGAATAAGCTGATGAACAAAATAGGACCAGAGGCATGGAACAGACTGACAGCTGTCAGAGGGGAGGAGGATGAGGAGGACAGGTATTGGTTAACCAAAGAAATATCTGCATATATGTATAACCCATGGATGCCGAAGTAGTGTGGTGAAGACCCAGGGGGTGATGGCAAGATGGAGGAAGGCAAAGGGAGGGAGGATGGGGACATCTGCAATAGAATCAACAATAAAAAGAAAATCTTAAGTCTTTGGACTCACACTGCCCAAGTCCAACTCTGGATCTCTTTATATAAAAATCCATATAACCAACTGAAATTTTGAGTTTTCATCTAGATGTTTTCCAGTGTCAGTGCAGCAATTACTTGTGTTCAAGAAATAGTTTGTATTCTGAGTATTTACCCAGACATTTTTGAAAGGACTTTTTGGGTGGATGAGAATCTTTTTAAGAAAACTTTCTAAATATATCTACTTGAGGTTCTCATTTAAAACATTTTAGAAAACTACTTTCTTAGGAATAATCTGTTTCCTTTTGTAAATAATTTCAGCAAATATTGCGAAGAATGTGCTACCTTACCATCAAAGAAATGGCTAACATCTCTGAGGATGTCATCATTGTCACAAGCAGGTAAGTGAATGGTCAAAACCTACAGTGGAAAACTTATTTATTTAGTGGGAATGTTTGTTGTTCTCTTGATATTAATTTTACTTGTTTGGCTGTAAGAAAGTCAATAGGAATTTAAAAGAATATGATATCTTAAAGCATTCTTTTCTGAAATGTGTTGTCATTATGTAAAAACCACCCTTATCTGATAACATGATAGATATGATTAAAATTAAAATGTTTTAAAAATATATGTAAACAAAACTAAAGAGTTGTATTACACTGAAATAAAATATTTACATCAGAATATTTACAATAGAAAGAACACCTCTACTTTAAAAAGTTCCAAGTGATAATTCATAAAATAACCAATATAAAGGATCAAAATATTTTTAGTCTTTTTCCTAGTAACCAGAAAATGTAAATTAACTCGAAAATGAGTTATGATATTTTTACTCCTCAAATTGGCAAGAGGAAAAACACAGTCAGTACTTGAAAGGGACACTATTTTGTATATAGAAAGAAGGTAGAATACTAAATTGATTCAGTTTCTCTGGAAAGCAGTTTGGCAATTTTTGTTGAATATTTAAAAGGGTTTCTCCCTTTGACCCAGAAATGCCACATCTATGCAACAATGTTCAGAACATCATCAGAGAGAGCACTGAAAGGCTTGTGTTCAGTGATGTTCACTGCAACACTGTTTACAATGGCAGAAAGGATAAAACAACTTAAATGCCTATCATTGTTAATAATTACTTGATCATATTTCATAATCTGATTTTTAATTTTTAAAAAATATTTTTGAAACATCCTTTTTTAAAGATCTATTTCAGAGAGGAAGGAAGAGGGAGAGAGAGATTGAAACATCAATGATGAGAAAGAATCATTGATCGGCCTCCTCCTCCACACCCCACACTGGGAATCGAGCCCATCACTTGGGCATTTCCCTTACCACAGCCTCCTGGTCCATTGGTCGATGCTCAACCACTGAGCCATGCCAGCTGGGCTGAAATATCTTTAGTCATGTGGAAAAGTCCTCAATAAAGTGTTGGATGAGAGTTGGATTCAAGTCTATGTATTCCATATAGTCTCACTTAAAAAAAATATTTTATGTATCTATATAAAACATATGGATGGAAATACACTGATATATTATCAGGAGGTTATTTCTGGATATTTGGGATTGTGGCTATTTATTTTCTTTAAACGTTTGATCATTTGCAAATGTCCTAGAAGGAGTATGCATAATTTAGAGTTCGAAAATATGTAACAAATGTTATTTAAAAAACAATTGCCTTCTTAATTATAAATCATTTAAGTGAATAGGTGTTTGTAAAACAAAATAAATTGTGGAGGAGGGTGCTTATGTTTAACCAGCAGTTGTGTTTAATGTAGTTTCAATTTCCAGAGCTTTCAGTTGAAAGCTGGAAGGCAGTGTAAATAGTCACTCAAACAAAATAGGCTGGAGTAGCTGGTGTTGGTTCAGTAGTTTGACAGTGGCAGGACTGGTGTTTCCTGAATTCTTGTGGATATTCCCACATTATTGCAAAATAGATACCTGAATTACTGGAAGTGCATCATTCAAGGTGGGTGGAGTACTGGGAAGGAGGCCAGGGAGGGCAGCACCATCTAGCTGCCTCTTTTATCAGGTATGCAATAGCTTTTCCCAAGGCAATTTTTAGATTTCATTTGGCACAACTGAATTATATGACCATCCTTAGGCAGTCAGGAGAGTATTTAGTTTTTATAGCCCAAGTATTAGGCAAGGAAGAAGGGGTTGGATTTGCCAATGAACAGTGTCTGTCACAAGAAATAAATATAAAATCTTCACTAGATCAGCTAGCTTTACTAAGTATTGGAAAAAATGAAAATAGATTAGTCAACTATTGATTGAAAGTTTTTTGTTTGTTTGTTTAGTTGTTAATATTCCCTCTGAATCCTATTAGGCTGCCTTAAATTATGGCTGGTTTTTCCTTCATTTTAGGTGATTAGTAAATGTGGTAGGTAGAATAATGCCCTCCTACCCCTCAAAGATATCTGGTCCTGATTCCCAAAACCTGTGAACATGTTACATCACGTGGCAGAAGGGTGTGAAAGTTCCCGATCAGCAGATAGGGAGAGCATCCTGGATCATCCAGATGGGCCCAATATCAGGCTAAGGGTCCTTAAAGTGGAAGAGGGAGGCGGGAGAAAGGGCTAGAGGGAGATGAGTGGATGGAAGCCAGGCCAGAGAGAGGCAGTGCTGCTGGGTTTGGAAATGGAGGAAGGGGGCTGTGAGCTGAGGACTGTTTTGGATGGAAAAGGTAAGGAAATGGACTTACCCTATAGCTTCCAGAGAGGAATGCAGTCCTTGATTTTAGTCCATTAGGCCTCTTTTGAACTTCTAACTTACAGAACTGAGAGATAAAGAAATGAATGTCTTAAGCCTTTAAGTTTGTGGTAATTTGCTACAGCAGCAATAGAAAACCGATAGGGTTTTGCAATATAGAAGTGTATCAAGTTAATATGTTGTGTACCTTAAACTTACATAATGTTATATGCCAATTATATCTCAAAGCCAGAAAAATAAGAAAACTAATAAGAGATTTTGGTACCTGGAAGTGGGGTGCTGCTTATTAGATAACAAATATCTAAAAATGTATAAGTGGCTTTGGAATGGAGCAGTGAGCAGCTCCTGGAAATATTTTGAAGAGCATGATAGAAAAAGCCTCTAATGACTTGAACAGACTATTAGGAGAAATGTGGATGTCAAAGACTCAGCTACAGAGAAGTGACATAGAGAAGTGTCTATCCGTATAAATATGGGCCTTGCCCTGGCTGGTGCTCAGCGGTTAGAGCGTTGGCCCACATACCCAAGGGTTTTGGGTTTGGTTCTGTCAGGGACATGTACCTGGGTTGCTGGTTCATTCCTTACCCCAATGGGATGCATCTGGGAGGCAACCGATTGATGTGTCTCTTTCACATCGATGTTTTTTTCTCTTTCTCTCGCCCCCCTTCTCCTTTTCCTCCCTTCTACTGTATCTGAAAGCAATGGAAAAATATCCTCAGGTGAGGATTAAAAAAATAAAATATGGGCCGTAAGGCGCTGCTAGTGAAAGCTCAGAAGAAAACAAGGAAGGTGATAGAAACTGGTGGAAAGGGGATCCTTGTTATGTAGTGACAGGAAGTTGGTGGAATTGTGTCCTGCAGTTATGTGGCAAGCAGGACTTCTAATCAATGAATTTAACTGAGATTTCCAAACAGAGTGTTGATGTGCGGCCTGGTTTGTTTTGTGACAGTAAATTTGGGAGTAGAGAAATAAATTTGAGAGAGAACCAGGAGTTCTTTACAAAAATAAAATAATTATACAGTAAACCCTCCATTTCGTGGACCTTAATATAATGGACTTTGAATTTAATGGTCAAAATTTCTGGTCCATGTGTCATATGTGAAAAATAACACCCTTTTAATTTGTTGTTGTTGTTAATCCTCACCCAAGGATATTTTTTTCATTGCTTTTTAGAGAGGGGGAGGTAGGGAAGGAGGAAGGAAACAGGGAGGGAGTAGGCTGGGATCAAACCTACAACCCAGGTACATGCTCTTGACCTGTAATTGAACCCGAGACCCTTTGTGTGTGGGCTGACACTATAACCATGGAGCAACACTGCCCAGGGCCACCCTGTTAGTTATAAAATGCTTTTAACTGAGACTTGCTTATAATTAAGTTAACAGATTAGTTATTAATTCACTGTTATATATTTTTTAAATTCACTGTTATTTTTAACAAATTTTAGCGAATAGGCCATATCCTGGAAAAAAACACTGTAGTAATTTCACCGACAAAAATAAATATTACACATCTACAACTCTAATCTACACATTGAAATCCCAGAATCACTGCTCATAAACAATGTCTGGTGAGTGATTAGCACATGATCACACTGATTGGGGGAGGTAATTGGTTCTGTTGTTCCCTGGTGTGACTTTCTGCAGCAGTTTTAACACGTGTGGGCTGATGTTCCAACATATGCTAAGCCACGCCGCAGCCGTGTGCTCTTGTTTACTTTCGGTGATGTGAATCCATGCATTTGCTAGACCTACTCAGCATAAAGTTAAAATTACTGTAATACATATAGTAAACCTTTCTGTGAAATTAAACTTTTCATGATACTTAAATTTTAAACACACAATCATGTCTATATAAATGAGAACAGGTAAAATAACTAATTTGTCGATTTTTTAAAACATATATATATTTGAAAAACCTACTCTTTTATATAATGGACTTTCAGCTTCAACGGACACCTCCTTGCCTGAGTTACTCTGTTATAATGAGATTTTATACACCTGAAACTAATAGTGTTATATGTAAATTATACCTTTTAAAAAAAGGAACCAGGAGTTCTTAATTTTCGAAATTCTTAGCCTACCAAAATGGCAAAGGATGCTAAAGTAAAGATCCAGTAGGAAAATATGCTGTAGAGAAAAAGTCAAAGGGGTTACTCTATAGCCTTTTGCTAAAACCTCAGAAAGATTCAAAGGTCAGAGTACTCACTTACACAAAACACTCTGAAGAGATCAAGGGTGGGACTCGGATTCCCTCAGATTCTAAGGAGAAGCCAAAAATAGAGGTGGGAATATCAAGAGAAGATCTCTGGAGGAGCCTCTTGTCAATGGAGGCCACATATGGTAGTCCCACAGGCTCCTGAGAATTTTCAAGCAGCAACACTGCCAGTTTGAACTAAAAGGAACAGAGTGAGAATCAGTGAAAAAAAGGCTGTCAGAGCCCCAAACTCTACAAGCAGGAAACATACTAACCGAGGTAAACAGCAAGGGTGGCTCTGAGGGCAGAATGCAGGCCTGTTGGTGGAGCTGAGAAGTATAGAGAATTTCTGCCTAGGACTTGAGCCCTATTCCAGTTTGCCTGTCTGAATTTCAAATTTGTGTGGGACCAGTGACTCTTCCTCCGTTCCTCTCTTTTTGAACAGGAGTGATCATATCTGTTATCCTATGGCAGTCCCACTCTTGTTTTGGGAGCCAAGAAC